TTCTCTCTCTCTCTCTCGTGTTCTCTCTCTCTCTCTCGTGTTCTCTCTCTCGTGTTCTCTCTCTCGTGTTCTCTCTCTCGTGTTCTCTCTCTCGTGTTCTCTCTCTCGTGTTCTCTCTCTCGTGTTCTCTCTCTCGTGTTCTCTCTCTCGTGTTCTCTCTCTCTGTCTTTTGTTCTCTCGCTTGCTAATGAGAGAGCAGCCCAGTGGTCTAGAAAGACTGAAAATCCAGCCAGTGTGTAGGTTTTAACCTTCCCAAATTAAGATGACGACCAGTGCAGATCAGGAGCCAAAGTGTTATTTTGGTACAAAATTGACCATTTAGAACTTGTCCTTCAGTGTACCTCCCCTCTTCTTGCACGCCTTGATAACCTGACTGATATCAAAACTCATTTCATGATGTATCATGGACGTGACCCATTTTCACTGCTTTGTGGTGTTAACTGTTTCATGCACCCAACCACTTAACTGCTTTTATTTTTTAAGCCAATTATAATAATGTCTAAACAAGGTTAAGAAAAGCTACAGAAAGACCGTGCTCTGTCCTCTTGGCATGAAATTAAACAGTATGTCCTTGCTGCTGATTTTCTGCAATCATCTTATCTTTTGTTTCTCACTTAAACCTACTTTGTGTTTCATTGCTCTACTGTGTTTTCCAATGGTCCACCTCTCTGCTAACCTGAGTGTAGAGACCCACTGGCTGGTGGGTATTAAATTACTCAGATTGACAGCTGGGTAATGACAAGAAACATGATGTTTCAGCTTTAACAATACTATTATTTTTCTCAAAGCTTTACTTAAAATTAATTTCAATTCACATTACTTCAACTGTCATAACAGCTGTAGTATTTTAGCTAAATGAAATATTTTATTTCACATTGTTTAAAGGACATATTCAACTGGTGTTTTTTTTTATACCACTTTTGAGTGATCTACTTGTGGAACAGTCTGTTTAGTCAGACACTCGGCACACTGTGACCAAAGGTTTCGTGCAATTCAAATGACAAAACAAAAACAAAAATTTACGTAATATTCACTTCAGTGATGGTAACATTTGAGAACATGCTTGAAAATGTATGGTATTAAAAATGGAAAATTGGCAGAACTGACATAATTACTTAATTGTTTATACACTTAACTCCTGTCAAAGATTATCTTGCTCATGTGTTTTTGGTCCATATATGTATAATGTTTGCCTACCAATATACATGCAAGAACAGTCACGAGCAGTTATAGAAAAAAAGAACACTTAGTGCAACTGGTGTTCTTGTAACAAAGTGATTTACTTTATATTCTGAAAAGAGGAATTGTTGTCATGTTGTGAAAGGTAGAGGATAATCCTAAACCACTTTAAAGAGGGCATTAACAAAATGGCACGTCTGCCTAGTTACTCCCATAAAGCTGTTGATGCGCTTTAAGGAGATTTTATATTCGATCGCAAGCGGTTTGGTCATTTTCAAGGATTTTTTGAATCTTTATATATTTCCTCACTACATTCCTTATTTCCTGACTAATTTTGAAATCTGCTGAATATAATGCAGCAGCAACTTTGGTTAAGGTAGTATGGGTTTCTTGTGACTGAATTTGTACATTGACATAGTGTGTCAGTGATTAGATGTTGTTAAAGCTTTGACTTTCAAATCCTTCTTTATGCCATCAGTCTGATCACGAGGATGAAACGGAATCAAAGACCCAGGTACAAGGAAGAGATTTTTATGTAAACAACTAGATTGTAGAGTAGTCCATCAGTGCGAATTGTGAATTATTCATTTCCAGTACTTCTCACTTTCTGTGGTAGAGTTTCCTGATCCTTGCTTATTTTAACTTGCATCATCTGCTCGTATTTTTCCTTTGCCTGTGCTTTATTCCAAATACTTTGTTTTACATCCTTTGTTCCATATTTGTTTCCATTTTACTTTTGCTTTTTTTTTTACAGAATAGTCTTGTAAAGCAAATCAAAGGTGAAAGTGTGTATGTGAAACATAGTAATCTTATGTTAGAGGTTTGTATCTGTTTAAGTTGTGCATTATTAGTTTTTTGTGCACGTTAGTGATCCCCATAGCTGGTGATCAACCCTTTTGATGTGGAGTGCTGTGTGTATAATGCATGTATTGCACAATCCTGGACTAGCAACATTAACATTACACTCAAAGAATTCACATTTCTTCAAATACTGTGTACAATGATAGTGAAAACTTGAATTGTGTACATTAGTACTCTGTAATATCAAGTCAAAGTAGCACAAATTGCAAGTCTTTCATTATTTTTGTTTTTAATGTTTAACACTATTAATACTGATACTTCTAAAAGTAATAGTGAATCATATACATCAGACCATAAAGTTTTGGATTCTTAATTTGTGAAAACTCCAAGTGGGGTGCATGCCATGGAGAGAATCTGAGATCTAGATTCTTGAGCTACTGAAAGTGGGGTTAGGCCATTCAGCAACGGAAGAGGTGAGATATATGCAGAATGTTGTAAAAGAATAATTTAATGTTAGATCAAATAATGGGATAGGAAGATCATTTTGGTTTTGTACATTGGGTTCAACGTGAAGGAGCAGCCAAGATCCTTGATGGAATTGATGCCAGAGGGGACACAAATGCTGATGGAAGGGGAATACAAAGTTTTTGCACAGTTAAACTGGAGGGAGCTACCATTCAACTGTGATTCCCTAATTCATCTTCAAACCTTGAGATCAGGCACAGAGTTCAGTATTGAGAATCAAAGCTGGTGGCAGAGAAGTAACAATGTATGCCACTGTCATACATGTGAAGATTTACCCTATGCTTTCACAGGATGTTTCTGGGGTGGGCAGTCTATAATTAGGAAGCAAATATGGTGCAGTCCAGGGATATGCCATTCCAAACAGCATGATGTGAAATGTTCTTCAGCAGCTTTGTAGCCATGACAAAAAGATCAAGGAACAGTTAAACCAGATGTAATCTTACAATTTTGATTAGTGACTTTGACTAGTAATCTCAGCGCTGTGGTTAGCTGGAAGCAGTGTTGGAGGGAGTGCTATGAAAAATAAATATGTTGCATTGTGATTGTATCGTAGAATCCAATGCTGCATCTACCCTGACATTTTTTTTTCTTTGTAAGGGTAGAGAAATTAAAGGGGACTTTTGAAGCTTTTGTGACGTTTTTAAATGATTGAGAAAAATGTTTGAAGCACAGTTGAAATTGACACCAACAAAAACAGGCTGACAAAGGGAACTCATTGAGGAATTGAGATAACAAGGTGTAGAGCTGGATGAACACAGCAGGCCGAGCAGGAAAGCTGACATTTCGGGTCTGGACCCTTCCTCAGAAAATTCATTGAGGAATTGGTTAGGCAGTAGTGACAGAGGTGGTGTAAGGAAGCCATGGGTGGACTTTTGTTAAGAAATTCATCTACAAAGCTGCAACATTTGAGGGATGAGTTTTTTGGTTAGAAGGAGAGACAAAGATGGCTGAGTGAATCCAAAGGGGTCCAGGAACTCTGTACATTTAAGGCTTAGATTTCAGGGTGGACAGTATGCAGTCATGGCTGGTGATGATAAGGAGGAGTGAAAGGTTTTCTTCTTCAAGGATGATCCTGGAGCATTAGAAGAATTTTGGTCTGAAGGCGAGCGATGTTGCTTGAAGAGGTCAAGCCAGAATGATGTGTAGATAGCTGGAGTTTGAAGTATTGTGTTCCAAATTACAGGGAATGTGTTTATTTCAGATACGATAGCATGTTGAAGTTGGAATAATGAATGATGATGCATTTTTATTGGAAGCAACATGCACAGAGAAGCAATTATTATCAAATCTGACTAGTGTTTCAGTTAACCCAGCAGAAAAATAACCCCATATTATTGTTGCAGTGATATTAAACTTGAACTGTTTAAATTGATACAAAATTTGACAAAATTCTCAACTTTTTCTTCTTCATTCTTGAAATCCTGTTGTGAAAACCTTGACTCCTTGCTGCACCAGTAACTCATTTGATGATTGCACTATCTGTAAATGCAATGAAAGCACAATCTATGCCAAAGTTTTCTGGTTGGGTTTACTCAGCGTGATTCTTCACATTAGTAAAAGCAGCTTAGCAGGGGCAACAGCACTTTCAGGCCTACTCATGTCTCACTTGATGTGCACTTTTGCTTTGACTTTTGCATTGATTGAAGAAGGAACCCTGGCTGAAGTATAGTCCTCCACACACTACTCGTGGGAGCTGACATAAATTCTAGCATTCTTACCACTAACTTCCGCTAAAACAGCATCCACGATCTGGTGATTTGTCATTCCAATATTGCTGCAGAACAGCTGCATCAAGATAGTTGAATAGCAAAATTCTGGGGAGATGACCTATTTAGGGATGGTGAAGAATTTTGTCCAAAATGAAGGGGTTTTTCACCCAGTGCTGCAGCATCATGAAGTTTTTAATCCGTCTGATTCATTCTTTTCAAAAAACTTACAACACAAGCAGAATTTTTTTTGTTTTAAAAAGGCACACAATACGATTCAGTTCATGCTGTTTGAAATGTTAATTACAGAATTCTTCAAAATGCAGACTAATCATGATACAACTATTCAAATTAAATATTTATAGCACTCTCCTCTAATGAGGAAATGAAGAGCAGTAATAGTTTGAAGAACACAGTTATGTTAAGTTGGTGTGTTAAAATTATTTGCCTTTGATGTTTCTTTGTTATTGGAAAGGACTTTGACAAAACTCAGGAAGATGTGGTTAAGCACCATGCCAACATAAGTGAAATGAAACGAACATTCCTGGAATCCACATCTGAGAGTGGACCTGACGAATGGGAAAAAAGGTTATCTGCCTCTCCGGTTCGATCTTTCTCAAAGAATGGGGATTTACCTATGATTGAGCCACTTATACCTGAGGAGGTAATTTATGTTGCAGTGCTACTTTTAAACTTTATGTTGCCTTCAGGAATATACATCTTTTGACGTATTAATAACACCTCTTCATTAGTGTCTCCATGCTTATGCAGCTAAAATGTACATGTTACAAGTTGTTGGATTTTGCTTCATAAAATGCTTTCCGTATAATAAATAGCAAGTATAAAGTAAGGCCAAGAAATTCACACAACTGTATGTTTCCCATATTATTGACCCTGTAATCATGGTCGATGTTTAGGGTAACACCGTTTGAAAAATTGTTTTACACAGTTGTGTCTAATTATTTTAACATTGATAGCAGACCAAAGAGGATTCCGGTGAAACCCTGCAAAGGAAGTCTGTGTGTGAACAAGGTGTTGCTGGGCCTGACATTTCTGCGACAAAAGATGATGAAAAATTAGTAAAGGTATTGAATTTGATGTCTTACTATTATGAGTAGCTATGTATTTCCTTTTACACATTCTGATATGGTTAATATCTTGGAAATTCAATCAGTGTTGATTGGCAAACATCAGGCACTTGACTTTGATAGAATGCTGCAATATTCCAGCAGACATTTAGCTATATTTTGCACTGGTGTGCAATTTAATGACAATTAAATTTAATGACAATTTCAATGCCCCTTCAATTTCCCTTTTGTTAAATATGGACTGTTGTGACTGAATTGAGCATTACCGATGATGTCAGTCAAAAACATTTTGCAAGAAACAAACGATTTGCACAACAGGAGATTCTGCATTTTTGAAAGATGTCAGGCATTTTGCCTGTCCTACCACTAAGATATAAAGCTAAGTATATGATGTTGTAAATTGAGGGTTATGCTACTTCACAATCTGACTTGGGTTGAAGCACATGCCTGAAAATGTTGACACTGCATTCACTGAATTGATTTTTTATTTGTTTACCAAAATACTAATTAATTTATTTATCAAAGGTACAGTGCACAGTATAATAAAGAGGTAGTGATGTAATGGGAAAATCACTTAATTAGTAATCTTGGAAGTCCAGACTAGTACTCTGGAAATGTGGGTTTGAATCTCATCACGGTAGCTATTGAAATTTAAATTGAATTATACATCTGGAATTGAAAACCACTCTGGTGCTATAAACACAGCAGGCCAAGCAGCATCAGAGGAGCAGGAAGGCTGACGTTTC